TTTAGTTGGCCAATTAATTTCTTTCTATTTTTAGTAGAGACAGGGTCTCACTCTTGCTCAGGTTGGTTTCGAACTCCTGACCTTGAGCGATCCTCTTGCCTCGGCCTCTGAGAATGCTAGGATTACAGGCGTGAGCCACCATGCCTGGCCCTAAGTGATTCTAATATGCAGTCAGGGTGGGAACCACCGGACCTAGGTACAGAGAAGGTACAGAGAGGAAGGTGGGACCTTGATACCTGCCCTCAGGTGGGAGTGGAAGGAACCAGAGAGGCTGGCAGAGGATAGGAGGAGACTAGGACTGGGCTGTCCTCTTGGCCTTTGACTCTGGGCTATAGACAGTGGCAGAGGTGGCAGAATAACTCTGGTGTAGGAAGGTGGAGAATTAAGAAGTGGAACAGGTGGACGATAGATTGTTCTTTGAAACTTTGGGCAGGGAAGTGATTGGAGAGGAAGAAAGTCTGGAGAGACCTAGATGCAGGCTTCAGGGCTCGAGAGAGAGGAGAGAGAAAAGAGAGGAGAGAGAGAGAAAGAGAGAGAGAGACATTAGAACCCAGAACACAGCTTGAGGACACATCCTACCTAGCTACTGGTCACGTCACAGTATAGCTATTCCTGATAGGACAGCCAAGTAGGCGGGACTTACGGAACCGCTCAACCGTGTTTATAGAGCAAGTACTAAGTTCCAGCTCGGTTAGGAACAGCTGGCAGGCGGCAGGGATTACTCTGGCCTTTGCTCCCAGGGCAGAGCCCCTGCCCCAACCTGATCCTCTTCTCGGCGCAGGTGGAGTTCTACTTCCTGTCCCAGTACGTGTCGCCGGCCGACTCCCCATTCCGCCACATCTTCCTGGGTCGTGGAGACCACACGCTGGGCGCCCTGCTTGACCACCTGCGGCTGCTGCGCACCAATGGTACTGGGGCTCCTGGGGCCACCTCTTCCGGTGTGGTACCCGGCCTGGGCTTCCAGGAGAGCCGCTTCCGGCGCCAGCTAGCGCTGCTCACCTGGACACTGCAGGGGGCCGCCAACGCGCTTAGCGGGGACGTCTGGAACATCGATAACAGCTTCTGAGGCCTGGCCACCCTCCCCTGCACCTCCTGCTGGGAGGTCCTCTGCTCCCCGCTTGAGCGACTCAGGGTGAGGGAGGTGGCCCAGTGGCTTGTCATTGCTAACTGATTTCTCATTAGTCCTACCCGTCTGTCTCTCCTCCGGGCCAGACCCCAGCGCAAACACCCACACATCCCTGGCCCTGCAATGTAGGTGAGCAGTCCTTCCATCAGTGACGGTCAGTCTGTCGGTTAACCAGAGAGCAGCATCCCTTCAGTGAATCACAGCCCCTCCCCCTTTCAGGAACAGGGTCCTTCATAGCTACAGACCATTCTGAGAGATTTGCTAGGCCCTGGGACCTTGCCAGCTTTCCTACAGATTGTTGACCATAGCCTTATGGCCAAAGCAGGTGGTCTGCCGTGGGAAGGGTGTGGGGTTTGGATGTCAATAAACCACCTGGTGACATTGGTTGTTCATAAGCACCTTCATGCTTCCTCCTCACTCCATCATCCTTCCCTTGAGTCCTGCGGAAGGGGTGGACAGAAGGGACCAGAGAGGATGCAGGTGAGAATGCTGTCTCCATGGGGAAACTGAGCTGGTCCTGTCACCTAAGGAAAGTGTGTAAGGAAATACTGAATGCCTTGTTCTCTAAAGACCACCATGAGGTGGGGGCCTGGCTCTGTACCTTCTCCTGGGACCCAAGATGGCTACACAAGGCTACACAGTTTGCAAGTCCTGGTGCAAAAAGAAAATGCAGGGCCCCTTTGTTCAAAAAGTAGGAACAATCCTAGCACTCTGGGAGGCTGAGGCGAGTGGATCGCTCAAAGTCAGGAGTTTGAAACCAGCCTGAGCAAGAGCAAGACCCCTGTCTCTACTAAAAAATAGAAAGAAATTAATTGGCCAACTAAAAATATATAGAAAAAATTAGCCAGGCATGGTGGCACATGTCTGTAGTCCCAGCTACTTGGAAAGCTGAGGCAGAAGGATCGCTTGAGCCCAGGAGTTTGAGGTTGCTGTAAGCTGAGCTGATGCCACGGCACTCTAGCCCAGGCAACAGAGTGAGACTGTCTCAAAAAAAAAAAAAAAGAAAAAAAAGCAGGAACAATGTTTTTTCTTTTTTCCATGGTCTCTCAACCTGTCATGGTGTTCTTTTGCTTGCTATTTAATGTCCCACTCTCTCAGGCATGGAGATATACTTCCAAAACATAAATTCAAAGCTAAAATAATTTTTTGATTTTTTAATTATTATTATTATTATTTTTTTAGGACAGAGTCTTGCTCTGTTGCCCTGGGTAGAGTGCAATGGCATGATCATAGTTCACTGCAACCTCAAACTCCTGGAGTCAAGTGATCCTCCTGCCTCAGCCTCCTGAGTAGCTGGGACTACAGGCACATGCATCACACCTAGCTAATTATTCTAATTTTTTGTAGAGATGGGGTCTCACTCAGGCTAGTCTTGAACTCTTGGCCTCAAGGGATCCACCCCCGCATCAGCCTCCCAAAGTGCTAGGATTACAGGTGTGAGCCACCATGCCCAGCCCATTTACCTTTAATCACAGCTTCAGGAGGCTGTGGCCCTGGCTCTCACTCCCAGGGCAGCCACATAAATCCTAGGGCCCATCTCTCAGGCTACTTTGTCCTCTCTTGTTCCCAGCATAGCATGAGAGGGCTCACCCAACTCCTCAGGACACTGGAAAGTAAAGGCCTCTTAGTGTAAGACTTGGAATACTCCAGCTCCTAGGTTTCAGGATGCAACTGCCCTCTTCTGAACTCCCTGAACCTGAATTGGTGGGTTCTCAGGACCTTGAACTGGGGTCAGAAACTTCCTTGACTATTTCCTTCCTTGATACACAGTCCAGAACAAATTTCCCCAAGTGGCTTCTTAGCCCTTCTTCACCTTGTCCATTTGCTCCCTGTGGTGGACAGAGTAAGAGTCTGGACAAAGATGTCCATGTCCTAATGCCTGAAACCTGTGAATGAATGTTACCTAACAAGACTAAATGGACTTTGCAGATGTGACCTTGAGATGGATGAGTTAAGGTGTGGGCTGAGATGGAAAGTGTCATGGGCTGAATTGCAACCCCTCAAACTCACACGTTGAAGCCCTAACCCCTAGTACCTCAGAAAGTGGCTGACCTTAGAGGCAGAGCCTTTAAGGAGGTGATGAAGTTAAACTGAAGCTGTGAAGTTAACATGGGTCCTAATCCAATTTGACTGGTGTCCTTATAAGAAAAGGTGGACACACAAAGAGGTAGCAGGGATGTGCATGCACAGAGGAAAGACCATGTGAAGACGCAGTGAGAAGGTGGCCACCTGCAAGCCACAAAGAAGAGAGGCCACAGAAGAAACCAAACCTAGCAACACTATGATCTTGGACTTCTAGCCTCCAGAACTGTGAGAAAATAAATTTCTGTTGCTTAAGCTACCTGGTCTGTGGTATTCTGTGAAGGCAGCCCTAGCAAACGAACACAGGGAGATTATCCTGGATTCGGGGTGAGGGGATGTAATCACAAGGGACCTTATAAAAGGAGCCAGGAAGGGCAGAGAGAGAGAGAAAGGAGGTGTGATGACAGAAGCAGAGGGTCAGCCACAGATTTGAAGATGCTCCACTCCTGGTGTTAAAGATGAAGGAAGGGGCCACAAGCCAAGGAATGCAGATTGGCCTCTAGAAGCTGGAAAAGGCAAGGAAGTGAGATTCTCTCCTGGTGCCTCCCAAAGGAACATAGCCATTGATTTTAGCTTCAGAAGACTCACTTTGGATTTCTAACCCCCATAATTGTAAGACAATACATTTGTGTTGTTTTAAGCCACAAAGTTTGTGATAATTTGTTACGGCAGCTTACAGGAAACTTAATAAACTCCCACTCCAACTGCAATAGGCTCAGTATTGTTTTCTAAAAAAATCAACTTAAAAAGTCTGTATCCCAAGTCCCTCCCACCTCCATACCGCCCCTTCACAGCTGTGAAGTGTCTCAGAAAGCCTTCACCACACCAGCAACAAGCCCTTTTCACAGCAAATACTATCATGATCATTAACCTGTGTGGTACCTCAAATGCATTTTGGAGACCAGGGCACAGCCAGTTCAGCATGAATGGCTGTCCTCCATGCACAGGTAATTTGCCAAGACGGGTTTGCTGGGCCATGGCACAAGCCCTCCCCAGACTCCTAGACACAGACTGCAGACCCACTCAGCCAAACCCCCCGGAGGCAAGCTCTGGCGTGGCAGGGACAAGACTCCCAGGGTAGTGGGGCAGCTCCCAAGGTCCCCAAAGTAAAGCTGGAACAACTGATAACCTTCCAGTGGTGTAACAGACTAGGTCTGTCTTAACATTATCTGGCTAATTTTTTGTCCCCAGTCAGCAATCTACCCAGTGTCACTGGCTCCACGGCTGGGAGGGCAGGGGAGCTGGAAGCCGGCCTTTTGAGGATCCTATTCTGTTCCTGTGCCTTAATTTCTCCTGCCTGGTTAAGGTGGGGTCGTGTTAGGCAAGCCCATCTCCCCACATCTTGGCAGGAACCTTGGTGTTTCTGATCCATGAGAGTTGAAGTCTTAAAGGAAAGGTAAAAACAGATAAAGGGTCAAAAAGGCAGAAGAGGACTGTGGGGATCATAAACATGCAGGCAACCCTGGCAAGAGGCTCTGTTGGCTCCAGATGGTGAGACTGGAGTTCTACAGCAGGGGCAGGATTAGGTGGTATTTTGGGTTTGTCTCTTTTTAGGTTAGGTACATTGGCTTAGGGACAGGATCCCATTCTAGGGTTAAAGTGGATCTTAAGAATCAACTTGCCCAATGCCTTCATTTTAGGGGTAGAAGGAAATGTCTTGCTCAAGGTCACACAGTTTTTTGGATGCAGCATCAGGAGTAACCCAGGTCTTCTATCTCCTCACTAGGCTTCTTCACTGTCTGGGTACCGAGAAAGAAGTGGGAAGATAGGGGCAAGTACCCTACATTTCTCATTTTAATTTTAAAAATGTATTTTATTCAACTTGGAAAATGAGTACAAATCCCTGGGTATTTGGGGGGGTGGACAGGAAGGGGAAAAGAGGAGTTGAGGCAAGGTAGGGGCATCACAGTGGCTGCCTCAAGTCCCTGCTCAGGTCACAGGTGGGGGGAGTGGTTTGAGCAGGGGGCTCAGGTCCGGAGGAACACCATGGTGAGGAGTCCTGGAGAGGGGACAAAGAAAAAGCAGGGTCACGTAAGCAGCCATGGGGCTTAATTAGCTCTCCCTCAGCCCGTGCTCCCCTTTCTCTGGGGCCTGGATCCCCAGCCTCGATTGTGCTCACCCAATACGTAGGCTGCCACCAACTTTTGTCCCAGGGAGACATGCAGGACTTGAGGCAGCTGGCTGCCAAGTTCGTCCTGGAGTGGAAGCAGCAGGAAGGCCACAGAGACAATCCCCGTCAGCAAGAATAGGAGGAAGGAACTAGTGGCCAGTTGCTGGTGGGGGTCTGAGAAACAAAGCTCATCAGAAGCTGTGGCCCCCATGCTACCCAGCCCAAGGGCTCAGGGAGGAGGCTGAACATGGATGGCGTATCTACTTTTCATTGCCCTCCAGGGGTGGCATGCTGCACAACACAAGAAACTGTCTCTCCTCTGGTCCCTCAGCATTCACTCTGTCTTCACAACCATCTTCTGTGCATCTATCTGACAGGCAGAGACCTCTCTCTAACCCTCATACCCAGGACACAACTCAGTAAGCATTAATTGCTCAATACAGATTTCCTATGGAACTGAACTGAGCTGGCACATGACAGGAAGTACTGCAGTTAGACCTAAGGAAGAACTTTCTCCTCTAAGTAGAAGTCAGAAACCAGAGAAACTGCAAAGTCTCTTTTTCCCCCTTACTTGATATAAAATCTCAACTCCTAGGAATTTTTCCACCAAAAAGCAAAAAGACTGACCAAGAGACTCTTCAAATCCAACATAGCTCATCTGTAGGGTAATGCTAGTTCCTCCCTCCCTACAGAACTCAAGAATCCCGATCTCCCAACTCACTCTCCTGGACGTGTTTGGCTGTGGGTGGTGCTGTCCCAGCAGGAGGCCCTGGGTGGGGTGTTGGGTCGGGCTGTCCCTGAAGCTCAAGGGGGTATGCTGGAGCCCTCAGAACCGAGGTGATGTCCTTGCGTCCCACTACTCGGCCCTCAGCGCCCTCCTCAGACAGCTCAATGCGGAAGCGGTCCTGGATGTCATAGTGGCTGGGAATGGGGGCCACGTGGCGAATCACACTGGTTCCAAGATAGGAGAGAGGCCCATTGAAGGGAAGTGAGTGAGAAGCACTAGTCCAAGTAAATCCAGGCCTCCCCCCACAGAAGCCTTTCCCTTACAGAGCAGACAGGGTGGGGAAAACATGTTAAAGAGGACAACGTCTCAGACCTAAGACAACAGGTGGCAGCGACCCCTGGCTTCCATCAGCCTCCCCACCATCTCAACTCACATGTCAATGCAGGACTGAGGCTTCACATATCCTTCTGCGTCAAACACCCTGTATTTGGTAGGTGCTGTGCACAGGACTGGAGTACAAAGACAGGCAAAGAGACCCTAGACAAGCCCTGCCCATGGTGGGTCACTGGAGTTCCTTCTGCCTTCTACCCCAAAGCTGGACATGAATCTTCCAGTACCCCAAGGCTGGACATTTGACCCTATCCATCTGATTCCTCCAGCCCACACATCCCTCCAGTGTCCTGCCGCCAGCCCCCAGATCCCTTGCAGATCCCCCAGTGCCCATCCCTTTACCTCGGAATCGAAGCGCAGTTCCTGTGGGGTTATAGAGGGTCAGCAGCTGCCTGGGCCCGCTCCGCTGGTCCGCTCTAAATACTAGATCCGGGGGAAAGACAAGGACCGGGACAACGGGTCCCAAGGGAGGAGGGGCGCCCCGGGACCCCCGGCTAGGGGCCCCCGGGCCCACCAGCTCCTGGTCCTGGGGCGCCCCACGGCGCATGCAGGCTCTAGGCGGTCGGACATCCGAGGGCAGAGTTCAGGGGACAGGGCCTGGAGTCTAGAGCTGGGGGCGTGAGGGGCGAATGGGGACAAGATGAGCTCGTGGGTCAGGGCCTGGACTGATCCCACCGCCGCCGCCTCAGAACCCCGTTCAGTGAGGCTCCCACAGAGAAGGACACAGGCCTCCCCAACTCTTCCGTCTTTCAGGTCTGCCCCAGGTTCCTTTAGACTCGCCCCCTGCAAACCCCACCGCGATGACCACGCCCACCCAGCTAAACCCGGCCCCTCGAAGCTTCCAACCACGGCCTTCTCTTCAGGCCCGGCTCGTGATCTCCATAAGCCCCGCCCCGCCTCTGGTCCCGCCCCTTCCGGGCGTTCTGGGGCTCCCGCCCCCTCTCTGGCCAGACTCCACCCGCTACCATGGCCTCCTGCAGAGCTGCCGCTTACGCTGCCTGCTTTCCAGGAGACCTTGTCTGCGCCTCCGACCCCTCCCTGAGCTCCCGCCTCCGAATGGCCGCTCGCGCTGTGACACCTTGTGGTCAAATCATCTGCCAATCAGCTTGTGGCTAGACCAAGGATGCCATGTTCTGGAGAGTCCATTCTGCACTTCCGCCGTACGGCCTCGTTTCCGCCGTATGTACGCGCCGATTGGTGCGCTTAAAGACCACACAGACCGCCCCCGCCCCCGGCGCCCGCGATTGGCTTGACCCCAGGGTCATAAGAATTTTACTGGCGTCTCTGGCTCGAACCCTAGCCCTGTAGTAACTCTGAGAGACGGAAGCGGGGCTTCGATCTGGGCTTTGTTTCTTCCTGCCCACTCTGAGACTGTCCAAATTGTTGGATCTCCCACGAGGAATCCCTTTTCCTCCAATTCAACTACAGACTCTCCTCCTAGAAGCCTTTGCAGCAACCAAAGCTTGTTTCCCGTTGTACTGGTTGGAGGTTGCTGCCAGCTGGGACTCGGATCTCAGCCCAGCCTAGGCTTGTCTCCTGTCCCTCTCCTTCCTGTAAGGGGCCTGGGAAATCACTCATATTTGCATAGGGAATTAAGATTTGCCAAACTCTGTCACTTACATCATCCCTTCGAATCTTCAACTCGTCTTACAGACGAGGAAACAGCCTGGGTAAGGTGAAGAATCTCACCCTAAGCCACAAAGCAGTGGAGCAAAAACAAAGTTGATCGTATCTGAAAGCCTTCCCGGAGCACTGTATCATATGTAGAATACTCCTATACCCCTTTGTTCTCCTATCATGCTTTTGTTTTCTTTATAGCACTTATAGTACTACTTGACATCTTATTGTTTCTCACTCCTCCAGGAGAATGTTCTCTCTTCCCCACAAGAGTAGGTACTTTGTTTTGTTTCTGTTGTATCTTCACTTAAAACAGTGCTTGCCATTTGGAACGAACAAATGAATGAGTGGCTAGGATGAGCTTTGAGCCGAGATCTGACTGGACTTAGAAGAGGATTCTGGACAGAGAAAACAGCAAAGCCCTAAGCCAGAAGTGTACTAGAAACCAACAACGGGAAGTGAGGTGGCCAATGTGACTAGAACTGACCAGTGCAAGGGAGACAATAGTAAGAGATGAGGGGGGAGGGAGAATGCAGATTACCTAGAGCCTTGAACCCACAGTAAGACTTTGGATTTTATTCCTAGACCAATGGGAAACGACAGGAGAGTTTTGAGCAAAGGAGTGACGAGATATGACTTAATTTTTAAAAGATTGTTCTGTATGGTAAATATCTGTTGAATAAATGAATGAAAACAGGAAAAGAAATTCCCCAAGATGGGCCCCTAAACCATAGAAATGAAGATGTGACCTCTTCCTCAGTTAAGAAACATTTATTTGGATAAGAAAGGGAACCCAAGGGCTAGAGCTAGGGCTGGAGTTGGCCTGGGTCTCAGGCCTAGGACTCAGCAGCCCGTGCAGGTTGGGAAGGGCACTTCCTCTTGCTTAGGTTGGTGAGGATCTGGTCCTGGTTGGGCCGGTAGGGAACCACGAAGCTCTCTGGAGGAAGTATGGGACCTCTGTTCTCTTCCACCTGGCCCATCAGCAGATAACTGGCTCCTGGGGGAGAGGGGAGGGAGGGATTGAGAGCTCCTGTGGTTGCTACAAGTATTAAAGGCATCTGCTCACTCACATTCTACACCTCAATCATCTTAGTACGGCTAAGTCCCCTCCTCCCCATTTCCCCACATCTTTGTTACCTTTCTTCATGGAGGGGCACTGCTTGCAAGGCACATAAAACTTCAGGGAGGTGTCAGTGGGCGGAGAGGGCAGGTCCAGTCCTCCGGTTTTGTAAGCACCAATAAGACTCACAGTGACGGTGAGGCCCTCCCCTGGTCCCCGAACCATGGACTTCACTGTTGCAGTCACCACTGTGGGAGAATGGGGGTGAGAGATGAGGGAACAGGAGGCCAGGACAGGACTGGAACCACTAAGGGGGGGGTGGTTAGAGGAGCTGGAATCAGGGTCGGGGGCTTCCTACCCAAGTTGCTGGCACAGAAGTTGCTCTGCAAGGTGCCTGTCCTCCGGCACTGCTTTGGGCAGGGGACACTGGGAGTATCTAGGAGAAAGGAGGTGCTGTTTGTAGGGGGCAACCTACTCAGCAGGTAGGAAGGACCACTTTCCACATAACAGCCTCATTGATTTTAATTCATTCAGAGCTCTGTCGAGCTTTGGGTCTCAGCACCCAGTACAGCCATTGGCACAGAGACACAGTGAGTGTTGTATAAATGAATGAAGAACTTTTTGAAACAGCTCCCTTCAGTCCGTGTCCCCTTCTTCCCCCTTCCCAGACTCACCAGGGCCCACCGGAGTTGCCTCTGGTTTCTCTGCAGGTGGAAGTCGGGGCTTGGTGGGTGCCTTGACTTTAGGCCCAGTTTCCGGTTTAGTGCCAGGGCCAAGAAGTGGGGTGTCCTCTCCTGGGCTTCGGGCTGGCCCTTCCTCGACAGCGCCCCGCGGCAGGATCCTGTAGGAGGCTGAGAAGCCGTCGGCAGTAACGCTGAGATCTGAGACAAACTGTACAAGGAGTTCGTTCCCTTCGGAGGAGATGCGGCTGCAGGTGGCGGGGCATTGGGGTGGTGTCAGGGTGGTCTGTGCACCGGGGCTCCCTCCCCAGTACGGTGGCCTTTTAACCTCTGCCCTCCTGTCAGTTGCACTAGCTTCCCAACTTCGCAGAGCCCCACTTGCCTGTGGACCCCAGACCAAAACCCAAGCTTTCTCTTTGACAGGCGGCTACCTGCCCTGCCCACCCGTTTGCAGCCCATGGGACCAGACCCCACCCCTTCCGCTTAGCCCCACCTATCAAAACTGCCACGCGGTCCCCTCCCTCTCTCACCAAGGGAAAAGGGGACTCAGGGACCCAGGTCCCGCCCCCTCACCCTGGGATCGTGTCGCCGCAGAACTTCCCCAGCCTCTTGGCGTCGTCGCTCATGGCTCCATTGAACACGCTGACCGAGTCGTAGCGGCAGTAAGTGTCGGGCTCCAGGTCAAACTTCTCGAAGGTCAGCGCGATGACCTGGCGGCAGGCCAAGGCGGAGCTGCGCGGCTGGACTCCGGCGCCCGCACCTCTCACCGCCTCTTGGGCTCAGGCAGCAGCCCCCACTGCCCCCTCCTGCGTTCCCTGAACCCCTGCCCCCCTGCACCCCCACCTTAGTACGTTCACACCACAGCTTGGAGGATTACACCCACCCACGGGACCCTGCAGGGGCATCCGTGGCGGTCCTCAGCAAAGTCGAGTCCTGGCTCACACTCAAAGGACAGACCTCCACCCCACCCCCAGCCACCAGCACCACACAGTTATATTTGTATGGTGTACTTCGCTCTCTTAAGACTCGTCACACTTGTAATTTTACATTTTTTTGTTTGCATGCAAGCAGGACCTGGGTCTGGTTTTGGTGCCCACCAGCGCAAGCTCAGTGCTCAGGACATAAAAGTTGTTCAATAAATCTTTGCTGGCTGCCTGCCGGAGGGCAACGCCTAGGTCCCCAAGGGCAGCCCGGGCGGGGGTCAGTACCTGGTCTGGGGGCGCAATGATGTGCCAGGAACAGCTGATGCCAGGGGGGTAATCGGACTCGGGCCAGTTGGGCGTGGTCAGGGTTCCCTGGGCCTTCTCCAGCCGCCCCCCGCAAAATTGGTGCTCTGGGGAGGGGAGAGAGGAGCGGGGGTGGGGGGCGGTGGAGACCCTCGGTCAGCTTGAGGAGAGCTCTAGGCTGGGAGCCAGGACAGGATGTCTGGGTCTCAAGATGAGGGGACAAGAAGAAGGGGAGGAAATCAGGGGTAGGTTAGCAGAGAGGGGGCTGGGAGAAGCGCGGCTCAGGGAACTCTTGGACAGCCGGCGCCCCTGTGGTGGTGGAAGGGGGAGGAGAAACTGGCTGGACTTATTATTCCCTTCTTGTCCCTCCCGGACCCGTGGCCACACCACGCCTCTTCCCCTGGGAGATCCCATCTCCCCGGCCTGGCAGAAGAGTCTCCTTTGTAGGCTGGATAGCCCATGCTGTAAGGGTGCCCTGGACTTGGGGCAAACCCCCGAGGCCCCTTTGGGGAAATCCCTGCCTGAAACATTTCAAGGGAGACTTCTGCCGCCAGGAGGGGGTGATGGGACCGCAATCGGGAGCCCCGGGCTGGGCGCAGGGGGCTCCGGGTCAGAGGAACCTATCAGTTCCCTGGCCCTGGGGTGCCCCCTCGCGCCGGTCGGAGGGAGCCCGATTGCGGACGGGGGCGGGCAGTTACTCACCGTCCCAGTAACCCCAGGCCGCCCATTCCACCCGCGGGTCGGTGACCCATTTCCGCCTTGCGCCTGGGGGGGGGCCTGGAAGAGGGGGTGGGTGGGTGCGGGAGGGGGAGAGAAGACCGGGAGGAGGGACTGAAGGGGCAGTTAGTGAGGAACGTGGATAAGGGAGATATTGGGGGCCCTAGGCTCTCGGGCACGGGGAGTCTGGGACTGAGGTTAGGGCTGGGGGCGGGGCCTGCGCCGGGGCGGGGCCAGGAGAGGGGAAGGCGGAGGTGAGGGAGGTCTCACCAGTGCCTGAGGTGGCCCGCCCGCTGTACCAGAGCAGGAAGCCTCGTCCTCCCGTTCCCTCGTCCGCCGTCATCCTCAGGGTTACTTGGTTGCCGGGGGCAACTATGGGTGCCGGCCTGAAGGTCCCGCAGAAGCGTCCGAGCCGCTGGCCCGAAGTTCCAGACCCAGCAAAGACCTCCAGAGCATCGTAACGGCAGGCGGGGTGCAGCTCCAGGTCGAAGACTCGGAAGGAGAGGGACACAGTCTGGCCCTCAGGGACCTGACGGGACCCACAAAATCAGGCCACATATAGCCCAGGGAGAAGGGATCCCCACTTCCCCAGGCAGGGGCACGGCAGAGGGCCTGGTCTCTGCAGCCCAGCTGTGGCTTGTGCAAGGGACAAGATGTGAGTTCTTTGGAGAGATTAGGGCCGGAAGGTTGGGAATGGAGAATCTGAATCTGGGTGCGGGGTGAAGAGCTAAGGTGCGAGAGACTTGTTGTGCGACTGATGCCCTTAGTGACCAGAGAGGGGAGAGGACCTAGACCAACCCCAGGTTGAGAAAGTGGTGCTGGTGGGCGGGTTAGCAGTCAGGCCTTTGCCTCTGAGACTTTGATAAGAGGTAGTGACCAGAGGGGCCTTCTCACCGTCACTGTCCAGATGCACTCCTTGTTGGGGGGGTAGAGGTTGGGGAAACCCTCACTTGCCACATAACCTGACTCCCCAGTCACATCCCCTCCGCACAGGAACACGGGTCTGGAGGACAGAAGAGGGATCAGTCAGGAGTGGAGAGATTGGGATGGGGTAATGGGGACAGAGGCTGGGGAAGAAAAGCCAGGGGGAGGAAGGAGAAAAGTCTTCCGGGCCCCAGGGCAGCTTCAGCCGGCCAGGATGGGATTGGGGTGGGAAAGACACTAGCAAAAGACAAGGATAAGGACAAAGTGAGACAAGCAACTGGACCATACCTCCAACCCCCCAAGTCCCTACCCCCACCTCAAGAGAAATTCCTGGTCCCCACCCCCACCCCAAGAATTCCCGGAATCCTCCTCGGCCCCCCTTCCTCACTCACCCCCTCCCCCTGCCTGGCAGTCGGGACAGGAGCCGCCTAACTACTTCCAGATGTGGACACAGCCACGAGGCGGTGTGGGGGGGGGCTGATGAGGGAACAGCAGCAGCGATGGCCCTCAAGTTGAACCTGGAGGAGCCAAGTCCCTTAGCTCCCACCCTTTGCCCTGTCCTGTTCCAGCTAACTGCTTGAGTGTCTGACTCCCAAGTCTCCACTCGCTGCCCTCTCCTCCCCCGACAATCTCTAATTCCTTCCTGGAATCCAGATGTCCAGCTGCCAGGCAAGTTCAGTCTTGGCTCTCTCAGGGTCTGTGGGGGGCCAAGGGTCTGGGTAATGGGAAGACTTAAGAGGCTAGAGGACAAAGAGTAGAAGGATGGGAGCAGAGGTGACCTGCTGGAGACTATGATCTTGCAACAGTGGGAGAGGACTATGGGGCCAGAGAAGGGTAGGGCAGTGGGAAATCTAGGGGGTGATGTGTCAGCAAAAGAACCGGCAAGATCCACAGGCATAACCCCCCAGGAATCAGGGCTTTTGACACTCACTCGAGCTATCTGGAAGATGCCAAGAGACCTACCTGGTGTAGTTGGGGGTCTGGCCCTGGGCGAAAGGAAGCAGGGCCCAGGCAATGAGGAGGGGCCCCAGGAGGGAGGCTGTGGCAGCAGGCAGCATGGCTGGGGGGCAGGCGCTGGGGTCCTCTAGACAGAGGCAGCAGCTGAGTTCAGCAGCGGCAGCGGCAGCAGCAGGATAATCAGTGCCAGATGAAGCAGCCTGGGGTGTGTGGGCGTGGGGACTGGCCAGTGGGGCGGGCGGCGGGGAAGGCGGGACAGGGAGAGTACAGCTGGGACAGTGGTGAGTCCAGGGACCTCTCTAGGTCTAGGACACATCAATATTGATCTAAGTAGGGGATGAAACAATGAGGGGCAGAGGCCGTAATCCAGGAATCAAGTCCTGTCATCTGGAACCCTACTCTGTCCTGTGCTCCCAAGCACCCTGCAAATACAGCCTCTGGGCCCTGTGAGGACCCGACAGCCCTGGAGCCTCCCCACTCCCTACTTCCTGGGCACCAGAAGTGCTTCCTTAGACTCTCAATTCCTAATCACTGGTCCCCTTCCTGGACACCCCCACCCCAGCTTGTTTCTTCTTCAAATCGCTACTACCTTCTCTCCACACCTGGGCCAGGGTAGGCCAAGGAGAAAGAATTCTGCTCACTCATTTTCTCTCCCACATATCTGAAGGTACAGGAGAGGGGCAGGGAGGCATGGCATGTGGATAAAGGGAATGTTCCTGTAACTGAGGAAGAGGCAGAAAAAGTAAAGGGAAGGACAAATGAGACCACGCCTGGGAGGTAATGGCAGGAAGAGCAGAGCAGGGCTATCACAGGAATGAGGAAAATGGGCAGGATGCTTTCTGGGGTCAGAAGGAAGCAGCCACTCCACAATGGGATGGAGGTGAGTCTGGCAGACAGAGGATCCAAGCAGGGGATCCAAGTAGTATAGGCTGACAGCTGTTCGAGAAGGTGGGGCCAGGACTTCCAAGTCAAAAAGGCTGAGTGGCCTCTTGGAAGGGGACAGCGTGCTGGAGGGTTCAGGTGCCCTCAGCTCTGCAACAACTGAGAGCTACAGCAGCTGGTACTCTGCCCTCCCTCACCCACCTGCCCCTACCCCACATCCCTCCCAGGCCCCAGGCTTCCAAACTGGGCCTCGCTTCAGCCTTTTATTCTATTTGTCCATCAAATCTCTTGTCCATGATAGTCAGGTTGGGGGCCCCTCCTGGGCAGCCCCCTGAACATTTTACAAAACAGTTTCCTGCCCTACCCTGGCATGTCTGGCAGTCCCCACCCCCCGTGACCCCACCCCATGCACACACAGTGTTCATTGCTACCATTCTAGCTCTCCTTAGCCCCTGCCTGGCCCAGGGCCAGACTCCCTCCAGGGGTGAGGATAGGAGAGGGGGGTCAGCTCTCAGGGGGTGGGGGGCCTGGGCCACCCCCTCCAGCAGCTCTCTGCAGCATGTCCAGGGCCTCCCAGAAGAAATCCTTCTGTGCAGCCATCAAGGGCATCCAGCCCACGATCTCCTTCATCTTCTCCATGCGGTCCTGCAATGTGGGGCAACTGTGGATCTGGCTGAGGTACTCCTCACAGGCCCGGGCCGCGCCCCCAGGGTCCTGGGGTGCTCCGGCCCCTAGGCTGGGCTCCGGAGTCCCCACCACCCTGCTGGCTGGCAGGTCCCGATAGGAGGGATTGTGCTCGATGTCATGGCTGGACAGCATGTAGAGGCACTCCCGGGTGGAGCAGAGGGAGCAGGCGCACAAAGGGACCTTGGAGGAGAGAAGAGGTGTGGCTGAGTAAGCCTGACATTGTAGGGGTCCCAGGGAGCTCGGGCTAACCCGCCTGTTATGTTCTTCCCTCTCAGACCAGCTGTGAGCCAGCAAGTGAGCTACAGCTGGCTAACTCCCACGGTCATGTGAGGTCGGATGAGGCCAGCAGGGTCTGTTAAGGGAGAGAGCTGTGCTGCGTGGCAGGAAAGGGAGGTGGGATGGTGCTGGGGTAATAAAACCCCTGGGTCCCTGCAGGAGTCCCAGCTACAGCCCTGTGGGCTACCTGGCTCTATTGCTCTTGCCTCCCCTGATTGCCCATGTGCCTGACCCTGCTCTGACCTTGATGTGGAGCTTGACGAAAGAGGCACTTCCCTTAGGCCAGCCAGGTAGGCGGCCCCCAGCCCCACAGCCGCAGCCCAGCAGCTCCTTGCTGAAGTCCGAGCCCTGGCTCAGCACCAGGGAGTGGTTGAGGCCGCACCACAGGGCAATGGGACATTGCAGATAAGGTACCTGAGGACACATGGTAGGGTCCCTGAGTGAAAGACACCAAGGGACTGGAGGACCCAAGCCTGAGAAGGATGACTGGAAGACTCAGGCAGAATGTAAACTAGGGAAGGAAGAGGTCTGCCCTGCTGACCACTGCAGCCCCCAAGAGTCTGGCCACATGGGGTTTTGTACTTCTGTTTGTACCTCATCTTTGCTCCCCAGAAAATAAGCTCCTTGCCCGAGGCCAGGGCCTGCCATTTAGCCCCTCATTCTCAGCCCGAGTATCTGTACTGCATCCTGCCTTCCAGCCTCAGGGAAGGACTAGCCTTCTTCTTCCCCAGGGTTAAGGCCCCTCTCCCTCCTGGGGCTATTCCAGGTTAGTACCCCTGAGGAAGGACCTTCCTTCTCTAGCATTTTCAATTTGTCACATCATTCTCTTCCAAAATGGCCACCCTATTTTAAGAAAACATTTCCATCTGATGCCATCTGCCTCCTATCTCTCTCTTTTAAGTAGCATGGTTGGTTACATGACCACTTTGAGGTTGACCACATTCTTGTTCCTTACCACAGGCATTCTTTCCTGAACCTCCTTGTGATCTGGCTTCTCTCCCTACTACGCTACTGACATGCTCTCTCCAAAGGCACTTGACCTCCCAGCTGCTAAATCCCAGGGCCTCTCCTGCATGCTCATTCTCCTGACACTGTTAGTGCTTTTATTTGGAAGGCACAGATAAGTAATTTATGGTCATTATAGGAAATTTACAAAATATTGGCAAACGAAAATTAAAAAATCACTGGAAATCCCACCACCATTAATATCTTGCTAGATAGTCTTCACTACTGCTTAAACAAACACATATAAGTTGTGTGTTTTTAAACAAAAATAGGATGTACTTTGTAAAGCATTTCATAAATGCTTTTAATTTTAGACAGAGTCTCGCTCTGTTCCCCAGGCCTGAGTGCTGTGGCGTCATCCTAGCTCACAGCAACCTCAAACTCCTGGGCTCAAGCAATCCTTCTGCCTCAGCCTCCCAAATAGCTGGGACTACAGGCATGCACCACCATGCCTGGCTAATTTTTCCTATATATTTTTAGTTGACCAATTAATTTCTTTCTATTTTTGGTAGAAACAGGGCCTCGCTCTTGCTCAGGCTGGTTTCAAACTCCTGACCTTGAGCGATCTGCCCACCTTGGCCTCCCAGAGTGCTAGGATTACAGACCTGAGCCACTGCGCCCAGCCATTTCATAAATGGTTTTTCATCTAAAAATACTGCATGGGCCGGGCGTGGTGGCTCACGCCTGTAATCCTAGCACTTTGGGAGGCCGAGGCGGGCGGATTGCTCAAGGTCAGGAGTTCGAAACCAGCCTGAGCGAGACCCCGTCTCTACCAAAAATAGAAATAAATTAATTGACCAACTAAAAATATATATACAAAAAATTAGCCGAGCCTGGTGGTGCATGCCTGTAGTCCCAGCTACTCGGGAGGCTGAGGCAGTAGGATCGCTGAGCCCCAGAGTTTGAGGTTGCTGTGAGCCAGGGTGACGCCATGGCACTCACTCTAGCCTGGGCAACAAAAAAAAAAAAAAAAAAAAACTGCATAAAAATACTGCATGACCACCATGTCAGTAAATGCACTTCTACAGTGTTGTCACACTGTCACCCTTCCACCCATCCTGTCTGAAACTTCCTGCTCCCGTGGCTTCTATGATATGGCGTTAGAGGGATGTGCGTGTGCGTGTGCCTCCTAGCTCAGAAGCATCTCTTCGTCACCCGCTGCCTACATGGGGCTACTGCCCACAGTTACTCTCTCTATCTCTATTTTTGTGCTTTCGACCTTGTTCCAACTTGGAATCTAATTGCCTGCTAGACATTTCCAATTTAGTGTTTTACTCTCACTGCAGGAAGTCCAAATCACACTCTTTTTCCTCAAACCAACATCCCCTTTCCAAATCTCATGTTTGTTGGTAATAACATCTTTCTTCTGGAGCCAGCGCTATCTTACATCCTTCTTTCTTACATCTAATTGGTTTTGAGGGCCTGTTCGTTATCTTCCAAAACATCTTCTACATCCATTCTTTTTCATTCTTGTTGCTATGGTACTAGCCCCAGGCCCTTGTCTCAATTGCTGCCATCAGTCAACAGCCTCCCAGTGGGCTTCCACTCTCCCTCCTGTGCACTAAGGCTAGCTGACATGTTCTCAGTCACCTCTTGGAGACTGCCTTCTCCTGCTCCAGAACTTGCAGTAACTCTTCCCTAAATCTCTACCTCTCCAGGCTTGTGGCCACTTATACTACCCCATATCTCACTGATTCCTAATGCTCCCTCTGTGCTTTGGTTAGGCCAGTCTTATCAATGTCCCAAGCTTATGTGCAAGCTTTGTCCCCACCCCCATCCCCATGGAATGTCTCTTCCTATCCTACCTGAATGCTATCTAACCCATGAGGCCCTGCTCACATCTCATCTCTTCTAGTTACTCTAGCCCACCCAGGCCCCCCACCCCTTCACTACATCCCTATTGCACTTAAGAGTGTGCACTGCACAGAACTGACCTCACAGTGCCAACCCTGGGTAAAACCTGCAACAGTCCCACAGGCGTTACGTACTGACTGACTTGACTTTCCTGGGGAGTAGAAAGTGGATTCTATGGAAATTGGAGAAGTGGACAGATCCAGGGGTTAGGGAACTGGAGGAAAGGGGTCAGGATGATAGTTGCTGGGAAATACTCTCACCTGTGTGGGTTCCCCTCGGTCCATTTTGTCCCCTGTCCCCAGCTGCCCATATCTGTTATTTCCCTGCATAAATATTCGGCCAAATTCATCCACCAGGCCAAGGTGATTGTAGCCAAGAGCACAGAAAAGAATCTAGGAGGTAAGTTAGAAATGGGAGGTGGCATTCAGTTCCCTCCAGAGGAATTCTGAGCTCTGCAATCTCCCAACCACTAACGTGCCCTTCCCAGCTAATCTCTTTTAGCCATGCCCTCTAAGTTAGCCCTCTCCCTGGGTCCCCTGTCCCTCCTGGTCAATCATTTGATTCCTGCTCATATTTCAGACCCTCAGTACCTTCCAATCCCTAAAGTGCCACCCCTCTTGTCTGCCCCATCCCTCCAGGATCCTCCTACCTTGGCTGGCAGTGAGAGAGCAAGCGGCATCTGCTGATCCAGGGGGTCAAAGGCTTGAAGGGTCCCAAAGAGATCACGATACACCCCTGGGGTATGCACCTCAAAATACACTCCCCCCTGGTCTGGGGGGTCAGGAGACCTCAGCTCAGCAGCTTTGGGCACCCATTTCCTAGGGATAAAGCCCCACCTGGGACAAAAACTCCAAGATCCAGGGAGTTTCACACCCACTAGAAATGCATCAGCTATGATGCCTGGGAACCTAAACATATCTTTTCACTAGGATGCCCTAAAGGGTTCACCAAAGAGTTTGAATAAGGGTGAGGGGTATCGGTATTTGGAGGGTGTGTCTAAGGCTGGGGAAGTGAGAGGAAGGCAGGTGGTTCTTACCCGTGATGTAGAGGGTACTGCTCTGGTTGGAAGCCATGCAGGCCACACGTAGGTGAGGCAGGCAACGGGACACCTTCCTCAGGGCCAGCTGAACTGTGTAGGAACGTGGCTGGTCCAGCTGGGTTTCATTCACTACCAAAGAGTAGATCTTTCCTTCCTCTGGGAGTTGGGGGGGGACAACAGACAATTATGTTGCGGAGGGGACTCTACAATATCCTCATTAGCATCCTAATAGACTCCCTAACCTAAGCTATCTGGGATTAAACATTTATTGCCCTACAGTGGGGATGGAGGAAAAAGGGTAGAGATGAAATAAGGGACAAATAATCTCAAGTCCCCCAGACCCTGGCAAGAGAGGAGAGGGAGAGGAAACCTAGCAGTTAGATTTGGCAGAATCCAATTTGAGTGAGAGATCTAGGGATTTAGGGCCCTTCCTAGCATTCAGAAATCTACAGGGTCTCAGGCTTGGGGGTGTGGTCAGGCATACAGGACACTGGGAAAGTGGGAAATAGTTTTGGGTATAAAGTGAGGTGCCTGGCAAGGAGGTTGGGGAGATTAGAATTTTAAAAATCAGGCATTCACTTGAGCAGTGGTTTCCAAACTATTTTTTTTGGCAGCAGAGCCCTTTATACACATGAAACATTATATGGAATCCTAGACTAGAAGATAGACAAGAACATAGTTATCTGGATTGAGACCAGGGTGAAGTGGCATGCAGAACCCTGCAGAAGAGGCTTCCCACCCACTTTCCTGCATCAGGGCCTGAAGAATCTGCAGGAAACAATTTGCAAACCACAGCTTTAGGCCACACCTGTGAGGAGCAGTAGCGCCCGCTGGGTCTCCTGACCAACCAGTACAATCTGTTTGAAGCTCATGGAGTGGTGGAATGTCATCTTGAAGACCCGCTGCCCACTGGACTGCAGATAGACCTCAACACAGTCACAGGCCCGGCTGCCGGTTGTGCCTACCACACCGGGCTGCTCTCGTGTGGCCAGGACGTAGAGGTATTTACGGTAAACTGTGTCACATCTTGGGTCTGAGGCAAACTGTGGGAAAAGGATGGGAATGAGGCTGGAGCAACTGGCTGTTGGGGCAGGAGATGAGACACTGGATCCTGGGTTGGGAAATGAGGACTTGTTTTCAGGTTTTGGTATGGGAGAGCAGATCTCCTGAGGAGGACTCCTCAGGACTGGTGGGGGCCTGGGTCACTGGAGGAGGGGTGAGTTCTCAGCCGCCAGGGTTCTGCTACTCACATCCTTGGCTCCTCGACACAACACAACATAGCGGCAGGCCCGCTTCCACTGGATCTGGCCAAGGGTGGAGGAGACCAGGGCATTTTTGAGAAAGAAGAGGGTTCCCACGTAGTCAAGAATGAAGACGTGGTCCTTTGTAGGCAAGAAGCGGCGGTAGCCATGGGCTAGCAGTGGGGCCACGCTCTTGCTGAGACATCGGCGGCGACCTCCAAATGCCTGGAAATATAGGCCCTTTGTGTCTGGAATAAGGGAAAAGATGGAAGGTTTAAGGGATGGAAATGACAAAAGGGAGATGAGTCAGAGCTCGGGCAAACTAGATTTCTTAGACATCCTGGTATTTAGCTCCTTCCCATCCCCAGGACTGGGGAACAGACCCCTTCCAAAAGAGATGTGGAAAGAAAGATTGGATTATATCCCTGTGTGAACTTTAGTGTCTGCCCCACCTCAGCCCAGGGCCATATAAGTGCTTCTTGGGGAGCACTTCTTTGGTTCAACCTTGCATCACAGACATTAAGGGAAACAAAACAGATATAGAAAAGAGGCAGAAAGAGCAGGGAATGGGGATGACCAAGAAGAGCCAGTCACCCTCAGCTCTAGATCTGCTATCTGGATTCCTCTTCTCCCAGTGGGTGAAAGGAAGTAATTGGATAGGGGCTCCCTGGAGGGGAAGGGGTTTAGAGCATGGTTCCTAAGGGGGGAGTGATTTTGTCCCTTAGGGGACATTGGTTGTCACAATAGGGGAGTTGCTACTGGCATCTAGTGGGTAGAGGCCAGAGATACTGCTAAACATCCTACAATGGACAGGACAGCCTGCTATAACAAAGAACATTTTCACCCAAAATGTCAATAGTGACACAGTTAAGAAACCCTCACTTAGAGAGGGGAGAACTCCATGTTTGGGGAGTGAGGGCTGCATCTAGGATAAGATTGGGACAGTTTGAATACAGAGAAAGACTTGGCAGGGATGCTAATAGGGCTGTGGGTGGGACGTCTATTGGAGGGTGGCTCCAGAGACTTGAAAGTACTTCATGGAGTATGTTTGAATTGGATATGTTTCTTCAGAGAAGAGGGCCCTGGAAGGTTGGCTGGGAGTGCAGAGGTCATCAGGCTACTTTACAGAGCAGGAAGGATAGGTAGGACAGAGGCCAGGAGAAATGGAGGTTCGGGGGAAGGTATACAGTTAAGAATGGCAGCTCTCTTCCAGGGCCGGACCCCAGAACCCTGCTCTCGGAGGCGTGGACTGAGCCTGCGACAGATGCGTCTCCACACGCCCTCAGCATCGCACACTTCGTGGAAGTAGTGGCAGGTCTGGCCTAGGGCAACTACATCTCTGACTGGGAGGAATGAGACAATGTGCTCCACCTGGGTGCAAGAGGGAGGAAGCAGGGGTCATCAGCAGCCCCTCTGTGGTCCAGCCCCCAGTCCTGTTATTCTCAATATTCCCCCAGGACTCACCAGCTCTGGGGGGAACAACTGAAAAGAAATTGGATTCCCTCTCCCCTTCTTCTCTTCACCCCCAGGCTCTGGGCCACAAGAAGGGCAGCTCCGCTTCACCTACCCAAGGAGAAAGGGGAGTATAGGGGTTCCGTGAGGGTCCCACCTTTTCTTCTCCTTCTCTCAGCCCATCTTTTGTTAACTCCTATCTTGGGGGTCATCTGACTCCAGCTTGGTGCTGTCAAATCCTCCCATCTCTCTCTCCATGTCCACAGGCCATCCCTCCCTGTCTGCCTTGTTCCTTGGCCCAGCTGCTCTAAATAACCCCTCCCCAATCTCTTGTGGTCACCTCCCTCACCCTGAGCCCCTCCTCCCGTCCGCACAGCCCGGTGAATTTTGGCAGCTTCCGTCTCCGGCTTCTCCTCACCATCCTGACTGCCCCCTCCCTGCTCCTGCCCTCATCTCTCCGGGGCCCTTGGCCCCCCGTACTCGGCTCCCTGGCCCCTGTCCCTGCTGCCTTTCCCACACCATGTCCCCTTCCTGGGCTTGGGGGACCTCTGGGGCCCCTCTGCCTCTTAGGCCCCTCCCCCATGGAGTCTGGGGCAAACAAACCTCTCTGTGACCTCACTGTCCAGCCACTGTGACCTATTCTCCTTAACTTTGCCCGGGAAATTATCTCTTAGACAGCTCCTGGGTTCTAGCTCATCTCAAGCCCTCTTAAGGCTCCAGGGATATGCATTCTACTGGAGAAATAAAGTGTGAACTATTGGTTGATAAGGCTTTTACTTTCAGGGAGTAGTAGGAGGTTTTCCCACTTGAGGCCCTTTTAGCACTAACTATGCAGAGAAACATTGGTGAATTCTTCACATATCAGCAGGCTGGGGCCTCCAGAAATTTGTAGCTCAAGAGTATAAGCTCAAAATAAAGAAAGAAAAAGTATAAACTCAGTTTGACAGGTGAGAGGGAAAGGTGCTAATGACCACTTAGCTCACAAAAGCATGCACCAGATGACAGTGGGTACAATTCAGCACAAACCCTTTACAGGCTCTTGAAAAACACTTCCAAAAGCAGACTGCTTTCCTGGGGGACAGTGACACCATTGCAAGTATGAAGGGCAACCTATTAAGGTAGGAGAAAGGGATGGATTTACTCTGAAAGCTTAGGATCTCTTCCTAAGCCGTAGCTTAGGAATCTCCGCTAGTAGCTTCATCTTATGGGAGGTGACATCTATGAGGAGAAACAGCAGAAGCCGGGGTCGGGCCTGTCCATGTCCGGGCAGAACATCTGCACCAGCTAATCCAAGGAATAGCTGGCTCTTGCTGGAGCTCAGAGGAACCCAGTCCTGCAGGACAACCAGCCCTCCCTACATATATCACAGATCCATTCATTCACTGTGCTAACAGGCAGGCCACCCGGTCAAACTCCCTTATGTATAGTGACTAGCAAACAGCAAGATTGGGATACCTAAGATAGAATTTTAATAATTCAGTAACTGTTTAGGAATATCATCATCTGAGATGTGACTTAAGAGAAAGCAACATAAGTTCCCTGTGGCTGGGCAAGTATCAACATATGAAGGGGACTATGGGACTTATGCCACTAAAAAGGATGTTAAAATTTCTAAGTGGACAGAAAAAGTATTTTCCGCTTCCTCTTGCATTTGGGTCCCCTTTATTCACTCTATTTCACTCCAGGAGGCAAACAAGAGGTTGTGAATAGAAAAAAGTCCCCTGTGAAAGTTGAGGGGATGGGGAAGGGCTCTGCGTGGAGGATTGAGACCTGGCTTCTAGGGCCAGCTGTCAGGAACTTGCTGCTTGCTCTTGCTAACTCATCTTCACTCTGCCTCTGTTTCTCCATTCGTAAAACGAAGGGGTTATTCTAAGTGATGGTCCTTTCTGGGCCTCTATGTCTGGTTATCCCAATTCCTGCCTACTAGTTAGCCTTCTCTGGTGAGGCTGGCAGGTCGGGCAACACTTCACCTACTCCGTCCTCCGCGAGTCAGGCGTCTCCAGGCTCTGGGAAACAGCCCGCTCGCCCCCACCCCGGGGGTCCTGAGACCCTTGCAGGGCCTCAGCACCCGCAGCCGGAAGTTGCCTGCGCGACCCCTTCAGCTGCGATGACCGCCCTGTGCACTGGCTTCGGGCAGTCACCTGGCTCCTTTCGAGCTCTCACCCCCTCGACGCTGGCTAGCTCCCTAACAAGTCCAGCTCGCACTCGCTACTCTAGCCCCACACTGAGCTCCCAGTCGGCCCAGCGCCCCGCGCTCACATTCTTTACCTCAGTCTCAAAGTTCTAGCTCACCCGCCTCCTCCTTAGCGAAGGGACCGCCTTCTCGCCCATGCTATTGGTAGGTAGAGCCTTTCCTCAGAGAAGAGACCGGGCCAGGTTCCCTCCGGAGGACTTAATTGGCCTTCTTGACAGTCACTCGCCTGTATCTGGCTTGCGATTGGTCTTCGTTGGTAGGCGCTCCCTGCTTGCGGTCTCTCGGCTTCTAATCCCTTCTAGTTGAGCGCCAGAGTCCCCGCCTCCTGGTTGGACTTGATTGGCTCCATCTGCAGCCCTAAGCATTGTGATTGGATGCGGCTGCGCAGGGCGGGACGGCCTGGAGCGACGGCCGTTGGCGAGCGCTCCATTCTAGTCCCCCTCCCTTCTCTCGCCAGGCTCCAGTGCTGGAGGCTCCACCCCCCCGGCAGGTTCTGATTAGCCGCTTCTGACGCGTCTCGGGACCACGATTGGTCCGCCGGGCCCTGACCTCGCTTCCTCCCCCTTGAGGCGACTACGGCGGCTCCAAGGAGGGGGAGGGGGAAGGAGGGACGGCCGGTCCCGTCAGTCAGGCAGCGGGAGCCGCCGGGAGCGGATGGCGGCGGCGGTGGCGGCTCCTCTCGCCGCCGGGGGTGAGGATGCGGTGGCCACGACCTCCGTGCCAGGGTCTCCGGGTCTTCCCGGGAGCCGCAGTGCAGAACGGGCCTTAGAGGAGGCCGTGGCCACCGGAACCCTGAACCTATCTAATCGGCGCTTGAAGCACTTCCCCCGGGGCGCGGCCCGCAGCTACGACCTGTCAGACATCACCCAAGCTGGTGAGTGCGCCCAGCCCGGGCCAGACCGGGACCCTCATTTGCATAGCCCCGCCCCCGCTTGTTCCCCGCCCATCCCGGGAGTCTGGCCCGCCCCTCACCTGGCCTTCGGGCTTCTGGCCCCTCCTGATTGGTATAAGCCTGCGATCACCCCCTCCCTGCTTTAAGAACCACTAGACAATGAACGCACTTCTGGTTTACACAGAACGCCCAGCGTCTCTGGCCGAGCGTTGTGAGAGATTCCCCCCCTTCTCCTTATTTGCATATCTGCACACCTGTAGAATGGTCCCGCCTCTCACCTGGTTGGCTCATTTGCATGATCTCTTAAACCTCAGCTCTGATCGGTCCATAAAGCAGCCCCCACGAGCTTCTCTAACCACTCAGTTCTCTCCCTCCTCCCTGTCTCCACTTCCTTTCCCCGTTCCACAGAGATCCGAGCAGCCCCGGGCTCCCGCTTCCCATGAATTGCTCCTCACACCTGATGTTTCTGCTTACTTTGCCGTAGTCCCACCCCGTAAGCCCACTCCACTCTTCACCTAGCCAGCGTATGGGAAAGAAGCAAGTCTACCTCCCCTAACACTTTACTCCCTGAACTCTTGCCTATTATCCCTGACCCCCTTATCTGAGACTCCTCCCTCTTCCTGCATGTGTGAGGTCACTGTTGAGCCTGTGACCTCATAGGAACGCTAGAATTCCCATTTTAGTTTCTACTTTCCCTCAGGGGAGGGCCTGGAGGCAGTTGCTGAAAGGAAGGAAATCTTATCTCATAGCTGGGAGTGCTGGAGAGATGGCCACTATCCTTTCACTCTTCCACTCACAGGATCCCTCTAATCATGCTCTCTCCACCCTGGTGTTACGGGATGTTGGGTTGGGGGGACTTCTTTATGACAGGTGAGTCAGGCCTCAGCTGCTCTGGAGGCAGCCTATGACCTTGGGCTGGCAGCTAAGGGTGTGGATCAGAAGAGGGGAGGAGTACCACATTCCCCAAACCCCAATTCAGCCCAGGTTGGTGGGTGAGAGGGACTCTTCCTCCTCTCATCCTGGGGTGGGGGACAAGGGGCTGGATGAAGGGGCACATTTCTCCTCAAGCAGGTGCCCACTTACCTGCATACTCAGGCTGGTACAGACACTGTCTCTCTCCCCTGTTGTTCTGGGGGGAGTCTCGCCTAGTACTCAATGAGTGAGTTCAGGGAATGAGTGAGCCCCAGGAGCCATTACCATCCCTCTAAGTCCCTGCCCACCCCCCACCTAACCCCCAGCTCCAGATTGACCTCAGCAGCTGTGTGACACTCGCTGTCTGTTCCCTTTCCCCTCCCCCTTGCTTGTTTTTTGACAAAGACCAAATGTTATTCTTTACTTCCTTAGGGCTCTGTCTCAGTGAGTGGACTCTTGGGGAAAACTACCCAGAACTCCCAGCCCCTCCCAGCTCCTACCCCCTCCCACCCTCCTCCCCCAGCACATTCCAGTTCAGGGTGCAGCCAGTGCTCCTGTGTGTTTGCTTGTTTGAAGCGGGAAGATCCCAGCTTCGTGAGAACCCCTCTGTGCTCTCCGTCCTTTCCAGGTCCAGGTTCTAGACAAGGTGGGGTCTATCTTGCCCAGAAATGTTTTCTCTGTGCCCAAGCAGGGTGCTCATAGCCTGGGGAAGAAAGGGGAAGTGACAAAAACATACAGTTGCCCATACCCTGCCCTCTGTATCTCCTTGCCATCCAAACCAGACTGAAAACTTCAGTGCTCTGCTGCCTGAATGAGTTTGAACCCGCTCCTCCTGCTTTCTGAGCTCTTTCTGAGTGTCTTCCCTGCATGTTTCCTATGGCTCAGGTCCCTGATGTCCCTTGGACTCTTTCCCAGGGGGGCTGATAGTAGGAAGAATCCTGAGGTGGGGGGAAGGGCTGCTCTAGCAAAGGAGAAGTGTGGTTCATTCTCTCACAGACCACATCCTGTGCCCCCTGTGCCCTGCCTCCTCCAGCCTGGGTCCCTTCCACTCCTAGCTTTTGCGCCTACTACATCAGAACTTGGTCTCCACCCTCTTCATCCATATACACACACACAAACACACAGTTGTGGACATGAGAAAGCGGGCAGGTGGAGGGTGAGAGTGGGAGGACCAGATGCAGTCCTCCCACTCCCTCCGGAACTGTCATCTCCTGTGCCAGGGCTTCTGTCTGTGTGCACCAGGGTTGGGCACAGAGGAAGAGAGAGTGATTCCTGGAGCACTAGGCTGTCATCCACCCTGGTAAACACAGGGCCTACCAGAGACAGAACCTGACAGATTGTTTCTCCTTCATTTCCTGTCACAAGACTCATTTCCTTGGGGGATATACCCCAGCTTCCCCTCCTCTTAACTTTTGCTTGCCCCTCCCTGAGGAAGGCCTTTGAAGAAGCTCACACAAGGTCTGTTGCCTGGGACTTCCCCCAGCAGGCCCCGGGCCCCTCCCAATAAAGTCTGAGCTGAGGAAACAGAAACACAGGCTTCTGGAGGTCCAAGCAGTCAATGTCTCCGGACTGGGGGAATCCTGAGGGCTGTCTGCTGGCAATGGGGTAGCCAGTCACTGCTTAAGATAAGGGGGTGGTAATAGACTCTGCCCTCCTCTCCACCCTGTCCTCTCCGTTCCCAAGATGCATGCAAAGGTGCTGATCTCTGGAGGGCTGGGCCAACAAGAGAGGAAGCAGAGGAAGGCCGAGGGGACTGGAAGAGGAGGGAGGGAAGGAGGCCAACCCCAGCACAGGAGAGCCCAGATGGGAGGGACCTGAGGACGCCAGCTCCCATCTCCACTTTGGTCTTCCTGCCTTTCCCTCCCAGTCCTTGGGGATCTGTAACATCATAGTCCATTGCACCTGGCTTGCTTATCATAGGGGCTGGTGAAAAACTATTGTCCAATGTCAGGGGCTTTATTTAATCTCTAGAGCCAGGATGTTATGACCGTGGTTCCTCTCCTGTGTTGATAACAGGTTGAGGTAGAGAGGAAGGGCCCTTGATGAGGGTTGGGCTTTCCCAGTTGTCTTCCCCAGGGGTTTTCCATGTTCTCTCCTGGAGCCTCCCAGCCTATCACCTTGCTGTTTTCTTGTGAGCACTGACACTCTCCTATGACCTTTTGCGTTCCACCTCTCCTGGCATCTCAGAACAACAGGAACCACAAGAGGTATAGAACCCAGCCACTCTTCTGGGATAGCTCTTCATTTGTGTATTTAAAATGGCATTCCTTCCACCCAAGTCTTGGTTTCTCCAGCCCAGTAACTCTAAGGCCTTTCCCTTCCCTTTGCCATTCTGGTCATGCTTGGAAGGTGCTCCAGTTTGCAGAAGGCTTTGTTATCTCTCCAGGGAGCCCAGGTTTATAGGCCTGATTCTTTAGATCTGCTGGGGTAGGGAGCTGGGCAGCTGGCTCAGGGGAATTCAAGGTCCTCCTGTCTAGGGCTGGGCCTTTCCACAGCTCTCCTCTGACACTTGCTTCTTCTAGACCTGTCCCGGAACCGGTTTCCCGAGGTGCCCGAGGCAGCGTGCCAGCTGGTGTCCCTGGAGGGCCTGAGCCTCTACCACAACTGTCTGAGATGCCTGAACCCAGCCTTGGGGAATCTCACAGCCCTCACCTACCTCAACCTCAGGTAGGGAGGCAGAGCCAGGGGAGAGTGGGGAGCTTGTCCTTCTCAGCCTCAAGTACCAATACACAGTACCTAGACTGACCCTCCCGGTGGCCCTGAGAGGAGAGTAGTGGTAGGATGCCTTGCCTGGGGAGCCAGCCCACTACCTTTCTCCCTTCCACAGCCGAAACCAGCTGTCGTCGCTGCCACCCTACATCTGCCAGCTGCCCCTGCGGGTGCTCATTGTTAGCAACAACAAGCTGGGAGCGTTGCCTCCTGACATCAGCGCCTTGGGAAGCCTGCGACAGCTTGTGAGGATGGAATTTGGGGCAAAAAAGGGAACATTGAGCCAGGCACCAGGGACCTTCTGGGGAGAAGTTGGGGAAAGGCTGGACTAAAGGCAGGTGGCCAGAGGCAGGGGGTCAGTTTCTGATGGTCCTGGTCTTATAAAGACCTGCTTTCCCAATTTCAGGATGTAAGCAGCAATGAGTTGCAGTCCCTCCCCTCAGAGCTGTGTAGCCTCTCCTCCCTGCGGGATCTCAATGTTCGGAGGAACCAGCTCAGCACCCTGCCTGATGGTGAGAAAGATGAAGAACTGGAGGGGAGGTGTATGTGTGTGTG